CTCTTTTCGCTAGCCCAGTTTCTTGTCCCCACCCTGTCCATCTCCATGGCCATATAGAGGGCCAGACTGGGGAACAGATCCAGCTGAAAACAAGTTCTCTTCTTCCTTTTCCTAGGTAGCTTTTCAGGAAGCTGGGGCTTTTTCAGCACCCCAGCCTGGTACACTGTACAAACACCCTTCCAACGCTGGGCAGGAGGCACCGTAGCTCAAACCATGTTTGAGACACCTTGTCTTTCCTGACAGCAAGGAGCAAGGACCTTACCTTCTTTACAATCGTGGCCGTTTTCATGCAGCATGAAGCCATTTCTGCACTGGCATACGTAGCTCCCAAAGGTGTTGATACATTCATGCTGGCAACCACCATTGTCTTTGGAACATTCGTCCTTGTCTGGGCAGGATCAAACCAACAAACACTGAGTTGCCACTGAGAAATAGGCTACTGCAATTGCCAGCTGGGAGACCCAGATGGGCAGATACCAGTGCAAACCTCCAACCTCTGCTGCTGGATTAGTCTAGTCAGCTTTTTAGCCCAGATACAATTCTCTTCAATTGTCTTTCATTCCATAAAATACATCACAAAGTGTTTTATTATATAATGTAGGTTTTGAATGATTAAAGGCTCCTATCTAAAAGAAACCTATGGCAAATGTCTCATTCTTTTAGAATAGGGTCCAGGAAAAATGTCACACAAATTCACTAGCCTAGGCAAAAAAAAAATCCACTGGCCAATCTTTAAAGTTTCTACATGCTCTGATGAGCCTCCATCTTTAAATAGCTCTGTCTGAGAGCAGAAGCAGCCAGATGGAGAAGAGGGTCTAAGGTAAGAGCTGCTCTCTGATGCTGAAATATGCCCCAGTGGATGTTCACTCCTGTGTATTCAGGACTACGTGTTCCTGAATTTCACTGTTATGAGCACAGGATCTGCTCCTGGTTTCCAGTCTAATTTCATTTATGAGCAGTTTGTCTCCACTTTTTCTTGGGCCAGTGCTCTCCCTGGACCTTATTAACCTCACCTGTCTCCTCACTCCTAAAAGTATTTCTAGATAAAACATACCCCGCCTCACCCTTCCTCTTGTTAGATTTAAGAAGCCAAACCCCAGCCCCAATTCTACCCTAACTGCCTTAATTCAAGGTCATTTTGCCTGATCACCCTCCTCAGAAATATTAATACTCCTTGACCTCTGCTGAAAACACAGAACTGAATTTCCACTTCCATATAATGTACAGTTAACCTCTGGAACTGCCTGCTAACAAGGGGCATCACTGACACCAAGAGCTACGAAGGATTCAGAACAGAGGATTAGAAACTTCCACTAGCATGCATTGCTTTGATGGGAAGGATTGCTATAGAAAATGTCTAGAAGTTTTCTGTAACTCTTGTAGTTTCAAAGGAAGAAGCTGTTCTCTAATGACACCAGGGAGCTGTTCTCTAATGACACCACTTGGATGAGGTTCCCCATTGCTTCCTGCTGTGGAAGGACTGGAGGCATTGATGAAACCCATACACCTAGCTGATGCCACGCTATGAAACTGGACCATATGTTGCACTGAGAAACCAAGATGAAAAGTGACATAGCACAGAGCAACCATGCTTTTTAGATGTAACTAAGCGTGTCAGGCTCTGCCTGATTTGACAGGACGTTGAAGAAAATTCACCAAAAACAAGAGGTTCAGTCAGAGGAGACAGCTAAGCAAGTGAAAGAATACAGCCGCATACCTGAGAAGTAGTGAACTTTAAAGCCTTTCTTGGAGACTGTGTTGTCTGATTTGAACTCCAGTCTCATGTTGTTGCCATATGACGTGATTACTTCAGGTTTCTCTGAGCCACAGAATTTGCCATGCAGCTTGGAGTCAGAAGCCAACCCACTACGAATCTCAACATAGTCATATTTACAGACCTGCCGAGAGAGGAGGAGATTTCTCAGCTCCGCAAACTTGGAACAGAGCATTTCAGAGGAAAGGGACAGAGGCTTGACTGAGAGGGAACAGAAACAGCCTTATACTCAAACACACTCCTAACTTTCCCAAATTCTTCTCTATCAGTGTTCTCAACCCCTTCCCTTGCTGCCCTGGTCTTAAAGCATGGCTGTGTTCATCAGAATAGCAAAGGTTCCATTTAATTTAGCTAAAGTAATTACTCCCACCTTATCCAAGAACGTGACAGTGTTGAATGAACTTCAGCAGCCTGCTGAATTAAGGAAGAGCCACTGCTCCCATTTACAGTGGGGAAAGTGAGACCTGAATGCTTTGTTTAAATTTCGCCCTACCCCTAGCAGGGCAAAAAACGGACTCTATTACTGGTTATTTTGTTTATCCTTGAAAAACTCTACTTCATTTCCAATTATTTTCCTGCAAAGGCAGCCTGGGGGAAGGGGGAGGATGGGACACCTATTAGGGATGGAAGACACCAACAATTATGCAAAACTGGTAGAGAAAAGAAGTCCTTTTATAACAGAACAGCTTTAATCCTTCCACTCTATAGAGAAAGCAGATCCAGGCTTCAAGGAGAACAATCACTGTTATTGGCTTATTATATCAAGGGCAGGGAAACAACCAGAAGCTCCACCAGCAAGACAGAGTCTCCTCTTCCTTGTACCCCAGGGATTTATCCAGTTCTGAGTTAGCCAATAGTCACACCTCTGAGATGCAGGGACTGGTTACGTACATCATTGCCTTCCAGCTCAAACACTTCGAACTGCAGAGAGATCCGGTACTGGGCTGGAGCTACCACCTGCCAGACGCAGTTTTTGTTAGTAGGATATTCCTTGGGCCATCCAGGGCTAGTAATGGTCCCATTGAGCTTGGTGATGAAGCCCCCACAGGCAGCTGGAGAGGCAATAAATGAACACAAGTTTTACTTGGTTCTGTTCAGACACACAGATTGGGCCACACTGTTAACTAGGAAATGAATCTGATCCTGGTTGGTGGCACATTTCAAATCCTGGCCTCCAGAACAGGTTTAAAATGCTGGGAGCTGCAAAGAAGACAGAAACCTCACCTGCTATAAATCACCAGTGAAACACACACAGCCAAGATATGGCCCTGAGAGGCACTTAAACTGTGTAAGATTGATCTTTTTACTCTCGAGCCTTGGGCTTACTGTGGATCAATTGATTTGACATACACAATACAGTCGTAAAGGCCAGCTTGGTAAATTCAACCACACTTAGTCCTACAAACCTTACTATTCCAAGTTTATCAGTAATGGAATAATTAGAAGATTATTATTAGAAGATTCCTAGAGAAGACATCTCTGTCATGTCTTCGGTGGCTTACTTTATATAAATTGCATCTTCTCTAGGGAAAATTGAAGACTAAGCCAGAGACTTAACTTTACTATCCCATTTTCTTTAAAAATTTAGGACATCTAAGTTTCATCCTCTCATGGGAGGGTATGGTTTTTACCTCAAAGGAATCAACCTCAGTCTGCGCTCTTGCTGCAAAATTGTACTTGCAAAGCAGCAATTTTTTTCTTGCTGTTTCTTGGGAGTAATGAGATACAGCCAGATCTTGAAAACCCACAGGGATAAAAGCTTCCTGCTTCTTGTTCCCAGCATAATTTTGCATTAAAAGAACTAATGCAAGGGAGCAGCTTCAATACAGAAACTGTGCAAGCAACTGTGTCTGGAGAAAGAAAAGCAATTTACTCTGATGTGCATCAGTACAATCACAAAGACTATCCTTCCTGTATTGCCCACAAATTAAGTTTAAAATAAAAGGTTAAGAGCGAAGTTCAAAAAACACTTGCCAAATTATATCAACAGGCTTGCTCAAAATTGCAAGAAATTATTTTGAGAAATAAAGTAAAGCTTGCAAAATCCTTTTGTACACACCTAACTTTGCCCTCACTGAGTCAATAGCGACCTTCCCCAAACAATTTGACGGAAGCAGAAGTCAGGGCAATCTGGGTGACTCAGTGTGGAGCTCCCTACACATCTCAGCTGAAAAGCAGAGCTAGAAGGCAGGAACAAAGGGTGGATTCTCACCACACCAACAGCTGTATTGTTGGTGGGAGCAAACACTTGTTGCAAGAGATTAACTGTATGAATAGAAAGCTGACAGAAACAGTTTCTATCAAAGACATGGGAGTTTTCCCCCCCATAACAGAAGGGAATTGACTCCTCAGTACGGAGAATGTCTGTTTTGCAAGGCAAATGTTTGCAGACAAAACATTGATATTTTATTCCACAAAATAAATTTCTTTAAAAAAAAAAATAAATTCAGCCTTAGATTGAAATACTTTGGGGCCATTCAACAGTTAGGGTTGTAATGTCTGCCCTCCCTTATGCTGCACCATGCAAGATCTGGTCTGAACAGGGATCTCTGGCCATGAAAGACAACTGGTTTTAGAGAAGTTCAGCAATAGAGAATGAGAGTATTTTCAGTTTTTGAACCCAAACTTGGTTTTCAATGGAAAATGTTGACAAAAAAGGAGTTTCAGGTAGGGGAAGACAAACAGAAACAAAGAGGATGTGGGGGCAAAGAGAATCATCTCCAAGATTGTTCCATTTCATTATTAACTGTAGTACTCATCCTATAGACAAACACCTCAATCTGTAGGTTACTCACCTTCACAGCTCTTTTTATCAGCTGCCAACTCGTAGCCAGGCTCACAAGTGCATTTGTAGCTGCCCAGTGTGTTCTCACAGTGCTGCTCACACCCACCATTGTCCGGCAGAGAACATTCATCCATCTCTGTCAGGAGAAAACCAGGACAAGTCACACTTTCCTGACCACCCAAACTCCACCATATTCCTCATGCAACACTTCTGGACAGAAGGACCAGAGCACTACCTGACAAGCAGAGGCCATGGAGCAGGCACTGCAGCAAACATCACAAGTGCTAAAAACCCACCAAAACTGTAAAAGAACTACAATTACTATTACTAGTGAAGAGTGCTTTTTCTAGACAGGAGCAGGAAAACATGGTCTCCTGTAAAGATTTCACTGCATTTTGTTCTCAGTGGGAATCCCCCACTGCAACAGTTCCAGTCCAAACAGATTTTATTTTCTGGTTTCTGTTTGTGGACTCACTATGAAGAAAGTAGAATATTTCTTTGCTGCTCCATGTGTGGGTACAGGTTCAATAGCTTCTAATCTGGCTGTTAAATCACTTGCTTGAGAGAAGAGAGAGGCTGCAACTCCTTCAATCACTATACCATGGGAGGGACATGTCCTGGCTATGGGCAGGTATATTTTGCAAAGTATTGTCTTTCTTCTAATGTTTGCTATGAAGAAGAAAGGCACAACAATGTGAGCATAAGACAAGCACATCACTACTAATGCTTCAATTGTATACAAAACAGGCTTCAGTGATACAATTTGTTACCAAAATGAAGATAAGTTACAAAGAATAATCCTAGAGCTTTCCCTTGAGATATATGTGATGGGATGGACATAAGGTAAATGCTCTTCCTATCTTCCTGACATCATCTCTTGGATATGACTTACCCTCTCTGAGCTGTTTGCAGGTTTATTTTCTCTGAAAAGTTAGAAGTTACCACTGCAAGTTCTCACAAAGCATAACATTCAATTTCATCCTTAACTATGTTTGTGGGTTTTTTTAAGCTGAGTTATTTTCTTTCAATGTTGAAAGACATGTAATTGAAGCCTTATTCCTTTCATAACTCATTAAGGCAAAGCTGACCCATTGCTCAATCAGCTACGGGTGGCAGTCCGAAGAGTGCCTGCAGAACCATCTAATTTGTTCATTTACTTTGTTCGTGGAGTGGCTGGTAGTCACAATCCCTCTGCATATGGAGGTACAGGCTGCAGACTTCATATCCCAGCTTGAAACTCCACATATAGCCTGCAGGTATGTCTACCCAGCTTTTGCAAACTGACATGAGCTCTGCCCACGATACAAGCTGGCTAGAAGTTGTGTAGCTATGGCTACTGTGGTGCTTGATCCAAGCAAATACACATTGCTCCTCAGCTGGACTTACTGGCATGGCCTTAGCAACACCCTAACAACTCACAAACTACATGGTTTCTAGTTCAAACATATGAAGTCTGACCAGACACTGCAAGATCTAATCTGCCAGCAAAAATTCCAAAGACAATACCCATGTCTGCAATTGTACTAGCAGTGCATGTTTATGCTTTTTTTTTTTTTTTAATAAAAAAGAAAAAAGTTTATTTCTCACTATCTGCATCACAAGGAAAGCATCCCAGGTTCAGGTGTGTAACTTTCTTCCCCTACAAAACTTGCAGAATGTCAGATTCTACAAACTGACTTGCTGCTGGCCAAGAAGTCTCTGTGTAGTGCTAAACCCTGGAAGACACTTCTGCTGCAGTCAGCCTGTACTATCAGCTCCTGAAAGAAGCCAAAATGTCTTCAGGAAGAAGTATTCTCTGTTTCTTTATGGAATCTGAGAAGTTTAAACAAGGAAGTCTAGGCACTGTGAAAGCTGTTCAGAGACTGGAATTAAACATCACAGTATTTGCCAGTGATCTTGCAATCACCCTTTGCCACGGTCCATTTGGATCTCTCAAATTTACAGAACAAGGTACTCTGAATTAAACTTTAACTAATTTTTTTTTTTTTGCACATAAGTGCACAGAATAAGAATTATGGCTTATAAGTTATGTAACCTTATGACTTAAATGGTGCATACGTAAATTCACGTGATAGACTAGTCTGAGCAAAAGAGATTGAGCCTTGCCATGTTTGTTTGTTGTATTTCTTAATGAGCTAATGAAATAAAGCTCAATTCAGAGTACATTGTCCTGTAAATTTGAGATATAAACGGACTGTGACACCCTTAACACAAGACAGAAGTTAAAGTAGAAATAAATAAAGGACTTATGCAATCCAAATATTGGCATTGCAGCTATCATTTCTGTACAACTGTCACTGAACCTAAGAGAAACATGACTATCTACCTTGCAGCAGCTCCACAGGTATTTTCCCAAGAGGTAAGGTATTTGGTTCTTGCCTCTATCAAGTCATCAGGATGTTGGTAAAGGACCATGGCTTGGGTCCAGCTCTTAAGAAGAATCTTAGTCTTCATTTGCATCTTCTTGAAGAGGGTCTCAGTTTGGGAACATATTTGTCTCCTGATGCACTCTGAAATTTTCCTAGGTATTCTACTTGGAATCAAATTTATCCTCTCTCCAGAAGTTTCTTTTTGGAATAAAACTTAAGTAGAGAGTTGTTTTTAACACTCTTTGTAGAGTACTAGTACCTTCTTTGAACATGTCAATGTCCCCTGGCCTGGGTAAATGGGGGCCACATTCTGTCCAGCTGTGCTAGTGCCTGTGCTAGTACTGAACTGTTATTGAAAGGCTAATGTTTTCTGAGGTAGGCTTTCTGTCTGAATCAGTGAGGTGGTGTTCATGCCTCAACATCAAACCCCTCTATGCTCTCAAAGCAATTCATAGATAAACTTGATATTGGCAGTTGTACGGACAAGTCTAACAGACCTTAACTACAAGTACATACAATAGTAACTGATCACTTTGGGATGGCAGTAGGTTAGGGAATGAGTGATCCCTAACTTTGACCTTGAGAGGTACTAGATCACATACCTTTAAAGAAATTTGCTGCAAAGCCTGCTTTACTGATGGTTGCATCAGATGCAAACTTCATCCATACTTTATTTGAGCTGGATTTGATATCTTCTGGCTTCTCATAGCCACAGAAGTGACCAATCAGTGGGCTGTATTCAGTGAGGCCATCTCGGATCTCCAGGTAGTCATAAGAACATGCATCATGCCATTCAATCTGCAACGGGAAAAGCGTATGCCTGTAGCTCACTAGTATGAGTGCTCTGAGTTAGGCTAGCTACCCAGTTAGACTTTGGCCAGAGATCAGCTTCCAAAGGAGCATCCCAAACAATTGGTCACAGCTAGGTACTTGCCTCATGGTTGCCACTGAACTCTCCAGTAGTTGAAATTGCATTCAAGACAGGGCACATCTCAGTTCTACTGCTATTTCATGGCTACTCTCCAGTGAAACCTGGTCCCTGACCACCTGCAAGCTACATGAGAAGTTGTAAATGACAATACAGAACAACTACAAAAAGGCTCAAGGTATAGCCATGGGGTCACAGCCAGGAGGTAATGGTGTCAGCCCTTTCCAGGACAAGCACAGTAAGTGTACACAAGCCACAGGAGCCTATGGACTAGATAGGTTTTATGCACTAACCTAGGTCCTGTCCACTCCTGTCTATGACTTCTACATCAGTAGTCAGAAACACATCACTGGGCACCTAAGAGTGTAAGACATCTTATAATCAGTAGGAGAAAACTTTTTCTGAGCTCTTCAATTTCTGAACATTCAATTTCATTTGACCAGAGTGAAAATTTAAGGACTCATGAGTCCCTACTTTACAGCATCAGCAATTTTGTGCCCCTTCCAATTCTTTCTGTCTAGAATAACAGTTTTTGAAAACTCATAATACTTAAAAACTTGGTTTCAAAATCTCTGAACAAACTTCTGGTGAGGAGAAATGTTATTCTGAACTATTAAAAAGATTTATTTTATTATTCTTATTATTTACATCACTTCCTTCTTAATTTTAAAGGACCTACAGAAGTGAAGTGATATCTGTAATATAATAGATAATGACGTTTCTCACCTCAAAGGCTTGGAACATGATTCCTATGTGAAAGCCCTCAGAAACTGTGATCTTCCAGATGCACTCTTTGGAAGGTCTGTAGTCATCTGGGTAATTGGGAGATTGGATCTGGCCAGCATCTTTGTGAATTTCACCACCACAAATAGCTTCATAAAAAAAAACAAACAGAAAAAACATGAGATTGCAGGTTTTTCCTTAGGTAAAGCCTGTTCCATACATAGCCTTCTTCCTCATTCAAATCTGTATCAATACTCCTTTTTCCACAAAGGCAACACACAAGTCTTGGAAGTTTTTACAAATTTAACATTTTGTCCTAGTGACAATACCTTCTGTCTTGCTGTGCCAACCTCCTTAGAAGGTGAACTCACTGGGACAGAGAATTTTTATGGATTTGTGTGTTTCACACTCCTGGTCACCTTTATAACCGCTTAAAATCTGGTACCAGCACTACAGACCAAGAAAAGCTGGCAAAAAAAGCCAAATAAAAAATAGTTGCAAACCTAATCCAGCCACACGAGGGCAATATTAACAAGCATGAGTTGAGGACACCAACAGGCTGACCGCTATGCATAAAAAATTAAGTTTTGTGCTAAGTGTAAGAATGAGGAAGTTTAAAGACCAAGAACAGAAAATTTAATTAAAATCTAGTTTAATACAAAAGTAGCAGAGACTTCAAAGACAACAGCAGTTTGGCATAATTGTCTGCAAGACTACATAACAAATGAAAGTAAGATCACATGCTAAACCTTGTGTTACCCCATGATGCAAGACACACATGTCTAAAGAAGGCATAGGAATGGTTTGGCTGTCCAAAACATTTGGCTGCTCATTTAAAATCCAGCAAACCAAAAACACTGACAGTAAGTACAAGAGAGATGGCACTGAAATGACACCTGCCAGACATCAACCACCTTTGCACTTGCGGTCTCCCCACAATGCATTGCAATAGCAGTTCAGATGTGGGTCTCCCTATAGTGTCCTGGAAATTGCTTGCATTGGGTAACATTGTCTTGGGTTTGCCATGCAAGCTGCTAGTTTAACTGCGACCTGGTTAAAGGCACTGTTTCACAAGTGCAGTGCTAATTTCTTTCTTAGAGAATCAGTGCAAAGGCACCACCAAATAATTGCATCCAAAATTCAGCTGCAGAGCACAATTTAGATTGTAGTTTGAGTTCACATATTCAGAGCTACAAGTGGTGCTAGAAAGAACCTCTGAGGGACCCGTTAGAGAACTGTCTCCTCCACCTAGCAGAAAGGGGACTACATGAGCAGATAACTGACAATTTAATTTTTTTTTTTTTTAACAGCCATAAAACTGTCAGCCAGCAAACAGTATTTTCTCTATCTATTGCAGTAATTCACACTGAAATTCAGTGGAGCAGCTAAGTATACTGGAAGAGCTTTACTGCAAAATGGAAAGAACATCTGCTCATAGAGCTTGAAAAGGCAGTAACAATGACAAATTTGGGGCTGCCAGCAGTGCTGTAGGGCAAAACCACCAGCATCCTCCCATCTTGAATCTCATGAAAGAAAAGGAACAATATGACTGAACTCTGAGTACACACTCACTACTTTTAGCGTCATCTAGTATCAAGTAATTCTCCCATCATGTGGCTACATGCTTCTGCCTCTTTCCTCCCATCTACTGAAAACTTCAGGGCCAAGACCTGGAGGAATCCAAATCCAAAAAATCAGTCCTCACGCACAGAGCTCCCAGCAAAGTTCAGATGCACAAGTGTTTACACACACCCTCACTAAAGCAGAGGACAGAGAAGCAGTGCTAAAACCCACTTTGGCTTTTTAGCATGTGAGGGAGAAGAGTTCAAAAGAAAAAGAGGAACTAACAGCAATACAGAGAGTCTTTGGATAAAAACTGATAGAAAATTAAACATGTAAGATCAATCCTTCCTGGAAATAAAAATCACCCTTATTGCATAGACACAGAAGGCACAAAACAGCTAAGCAAGCTACCTGACAATGGAGGAAAAAACCAAACGATTACCAGAGCTTGCATCAGAGGGAAATAGGGATTAAGGAAGACTTTTGGAAATGCTCATTTCCACAAATAAATTATGGAGAGAGATGGAGATAATCGCACTACCTGCTGCTCTGACAAGAGGAGGCTGAGCTAAGAAAAGAACTATGCAATGGGCCATCACTGTTTCTGTGCTACAAGCTGGCTTCCACCAGTCATACTCCGTGCTTGCTCTCAGTCTTAGCAAGAGATTTCATACCTTTCCAATGGCAAGTTTCTTGCAAGAAAGAGTTATATAAAAAGTCAGAGCCTTGAAGAAGCAGGAAAATACGAACAGCCAGAGGGATGCAAAGTTTGACCACTAGATGAAGATTTCACTTTCATTTGCTCTCCTCAAAAGTCCAGTGAAGCAAGTATTGCTCATCTTTACTGAACCTTCAGGGGTCATTTATGAATCAATAGGAAATACAGAAAATTATCAAGAGAAAAGTTTTGCAAAGTGACTTCAGCACGTAGCCCACAGAACATTTTTTCTTTCGGTATCATTTAGCAATATGAAGCATGATGCCATATTAACACATATGATGAAGAACAGAGAAGTTGCTTCCCAAAAACATTCCTCACCTCGCTTTTTTCTTTTTCTTTTAAAGTTGGAGCAGATATCACTGGGGGATAACCCACTGTAAGAACTAAGCTGACTAGCCCGTCAAAGTAATAAGCCAAAATAAAACAGTCTATTAGAGACACAGTAGTTTGATCACTTCTAATTCCAACAAACTACCATAAAAGGGGTATTACAAACCATATCGTTCAGGCAACAGCTGCTTCTCAAGAGAAACAAACCAAAACCAAAAAAAAAAAAAAACAAACCATCAGGCAAGCTACCTCTGTCTCCGGGGCAACAATTCCTGCAGAAACCAGATATTTCTCCTGTCAAACAGATTTGTTAGCCCCACACTGCTGTGAAATCCTCAGGTACTTTATTTGCACCTCCCCAATAGTCCCATGTTTTCTTCGCTTCCCTCTGTTAGTATCATTATTCACGAGTATATTGGACACTTGGGCACTGGGACTCCAGTGTCATACTTCTTCCTGTGGCTGCAGAAAGATGATTCGAAGTTGGTACCAATACAGTCAACCTCAACACTGTTGACAACACTGGTACTTCTAATAAAATGCCTGTTGCTCAGAGCATAAGGAGGGCTTTTAATGCACTTTAGAATCATTATTGTAAAAAATAAGCATATATGGAGAACTGATTTGTTAGTGACTTTGGTAGTATTGCTCCTCTGAAGTGGTTTCAACATCCCAGTTCCGTTCAAGTTTCCAAAGTACCTGACTTGCAGAAGATCTGATGTGCTAATTTCTGATCTTGTCTAAGTAAAACATACAAGAAGAACAATCTTTGCATTTGAGCAAAAAAAACCCAAAACCCCAAAATAAGCTGCATTAAGTGATATAAAATGTATGATTCAAAACAGAACTTTGCCTGTTAAATTACTGGAAGGAACTCCTGCTATACCCAGCACTGCTGCTTGCAGGAGCTGGTTAGGGCAAACAGAACCTGGCCCATGAACAGAAACTATTGCTCTGTGCTGCCATCGTGTTGTCCCCCCCAAAAATGTGATGATCTAGGTGAACGATCCATGCCTTGTCTGCTGAAACTGCCCATAAAAATCTGCCAATTCCCATAAAAACAAGAGTGGGGGCTGTGTATAGCCACATGGTGAAGCTGAACTCCTACTGATCCCATAAACCCCTGCATCCTGTTCTGGCTACTCCAGGATGTGACAGACAACTTCTAGCTAAAGGCTGTACCTTCATAGACCACAAAGAAGCCTTTGCCCAGGATGTTACTGCTGCTCCGGAACTCGATCCACAGCCTGCTGTCCGTGGAGATTACCGGTTCAGGGATCTTGTCGCCACAAAATCTACCTAGAAGGCAGGAAAGAGACGATCAAGATCTCCTGGCTGACAGGCAGCACAATGTAGCAGACACCTGTGGCTCCAGGAAGCAAAGAGTCTGTGGTTAAAGGAGCTGTGCTTGCGTAA